GGGTGGGCATGTCTTACAAGACGATTTACTCATTTCCTGTCCTAGTGAAGCCCTATGCAAGGTATGATTACTTCGATTGTGTGTCTCCAGTCGTTGTTAACCGTTTTTTTAAGTGACTGTTAATGAGCTGAAAGTTGTGTTGGTTTTTCGCCCGCGACAACTTTGAAGTTGCAGCGCGGACGCATGAGCTGAATGCTCTGTTGCTCTTGTTCGAACGGAGCTTGCTTTACAACCGCATTCTTCGTTTTCATCCTTTTTCCAGAAGTACATAAAAGGTATGGCCTCCAAGGCAACCACGCAACCGGCGAATCCTGCTCCACCGACCGACACAACGGTGCCATCGGTGTCTTCCTCCACCCCGGCCGATGCGAGTGCACAAGCTATACTCATAACGGAATTGAAACAACGCTCTGGTATGAACGAAGCGTTCTCACGCCAATGTCTCGAAGAATATCAGTGGAATTTTGAAGCTGCGTTCGGCGCTTTCGAAATGTTACGCAATGCTGGCAAACTACCCCCGGAAGCATTTGTATAATTTTCACCCATCCCACTCTGTCCACACACTCACCTCTCTTTTCGGTGGCCAAGTTGTCCAAGTTATTGGATGTTTGTTGGTGTATGTTGTGCAGTACTGGTTTCATTGCCGGTCTGGTCCCAATATTACTAAAAAATCAGGCCACACTGGGTAAAAAAATATGAGCAAAACGACTCAGTTCTTAACTCTGCAACTGCTTTTTGCAGTTTTTTTCAAACCCAGTTGCGACCATCACCTGAATGCCGTGTTGAACAGTGTTCACACAATTGGCATCAAATATCTTGGCCACACCAATCATTTGCGTGGGTGACTCGCCCCGCTCGGGCTACCAGTTTCGGTTTTTGAGCTAGTGCTGCGTGTGTTTGCCGAGTGTTGCCTCCAATACTTGTGCAATTTGGTTGCCATCCCCATGTACTTCTGTCACATTGTACCCTTTTCTCTTCATCTACATACCCTGTGTTCTCCCTGCAACTTCTTTATGTATTACGACACCACTCGCTACGTATAGACTATTAAGACATTGCTGTTATGGTTTGTGGATTGTTCGTCACCTGAAAAGATTGTACACTGACTCACGATGTTAATCCCTTTCTAAATAGGTTACTGCTCGCGAAAAGGTCACTTTTGTCACGATGGTTTGTTCTTACTGCAAGCGGCATCGATGCATCAAACAGGAGACAATGCAATTTGTTCTTCACAAGAGACTCAACTGAATCTCTCGTTTATGGTATTCTACAACCGAATGTGCTGCGCACAGGCCGCCTCATGATTCATAAACGAGAGATTCAGTTGAGTCTCTCGTGAAAACCAAATTGATGTGCAAAAGAGGGTATTTCTCGGAAACAGTGTAATTTGGGTTCAAGTAGAACATAAGGTTGATGGAAACTCGGGGACTGCGCCCACCTGATGAGCCGTAAGACGGGCGAAACCGGTCGTGGGCTGTCGAAGAGTTTTCAGCAACCTTGTGAGTAGTTTCCTTTATGAAAAAGGAGACAATGTACTTCATCGCCCCCCCCCGTATCACCATAGAGTTTTACCATCCCTACTCGGAGTAACTGTTCCCAAACTAGGCGGCTTAGTAAAACACTGTCATTAAGCTACTATCAGTCCGAAACTCAAGACACGTTATCGATCCCTGTAGCCAGCGACCAAGAGATGCATGATTATACCTCTTCTGTTTGCCGCTTCTCCACAGCATCCTTTCGTTTGTGATGGCAGGTGGTCGTTTTTCATCTTCAATGGAGCAACATGAGGATTGGCGAGTTTGTAGGGGTCAGTTCTAAGAACCGTACACCGCAATCATCAAAAACTGACCATCTCTGCTTACCTTTAACTTTAATTCGGTTAGTCATCGGACGCTAGCTAGTTTCCATCAGGCAAAGTTGTATATCTTGAGGCTCCTAATGGCTTCATACTTCAACTCCGTGGACGCGTGCCGGGTGTAGTACAGGCGTTCATCTGGATTCACCACACACGGGTCGGGTTAGGTCTTCTTGCCTCATCCCTTCCCCCTAACCTGAATATGCATATGATCAAAGGGATACCTCATCAACCCTTGGTCTCCGTGAGGTTAAAATGCTCCCCGGGGCGTTTCACATTCACGTTCGCAAACTCCGCGGATCACTTTAATAACCAAATGACCTTTACAGATCACGGTTTGGTGTGTGCTCCACGCTTACGAAACTGGGATAATAATACAAGACTAGGATCAAATCCGAACATAGAACGCACAAAAGACCCTTTTGAGTTGTGAAAAACGTTTTCTTGCCTGGGTAACTGCTTCATTTCTAATACTAGAGCCGCTTTTGCCAGCCCAAACACGTGTTTGACAAATGTGACGTCAGCTTGTCCGCCAGGCGGAGAGCCATTACTCTGACACTTTCAACACAAGCAAACGCAAAGGAAGAGTGCCCATCAAAACGTTGTCTGGGTCTGTTGGATGGAGCGAAGCCATATGTCGAATTGTTTCCGAAAGGAAAGGCTCACAAGAGATCGATAGGCAGTTGGTACTTCAAAGGTTGCACAGACATGTTCATGTGCCAGTGCATAAAGTCTTCAGCGCAACATAATCGTCAGATCATGATTCAGAAGAGAGATACAGAAGCTGTACCCTTCTTGCTTTGGTAGTTATCCCCAGAAGAGACAGTAGTCATGGGAGTTGTTAACTTTGGTGCACCTATCCCCCAGATCTCTCCAACGATAAAGTACCCACCATCGCCGAAAGGTTCACCGTACGAAAATACCAGCTAATAACAACTTGAATGTGTACCTATCCGCTCCCGTGTCGCACGTAATTGATGAACAAGAACAGCACCTGGATGTCCACACAGTATGCACTTGGTAGTGCTCAAATACGGTCAGAAATTCGAAGAGCTATCCGTGACTCTTAACGTACCAGGGATGTGTATATTGTTCGGTATAGGATTTTTCTATCTGTTGGGATGCATATGCTATACCCACATTACCAAGTGACAGAATCATCAGTCGGGAGCAGGTTCCTCAGGACAACCTTCTAAATTAAGTTACTGAATTCAATTCCTCCACAAATGTGTTGCAAACTTTTCTTGGGCTTCGGATTATTCCTGTCACTGGTAGCTCTTGATTCGCTCATTCCCCTCCCCCATGTGGCTCGTCCCTCCTCTTAGTTTTCTAGGGACTCACAAGTTTCAAGGAGGGCTGGTGATGGGCGACCTTGATTCAGCGGAAATGAGCTGACTTCAGGTCTGATTAGAGCAAACAACAATCCAACTCATTGTGTTTGACACGGACTGATACTTGACTTATGTATTCTTCCTGACTCAGTGCTGCCAACGCATCGAGTACATTCAAGTGATCGTTTCGGTCTCTCAGTGTGTCTCCCATGACACATGCATGGATCCCCTGCACCTGAACCGTAGCCAAACCGCCCGGTTGAGATCAGCGATTTTCTGAGGCAGAATAATTAAAATATGGCGGGTAGATTATCATCCTGACACGTAGGTGGACACACATTTTACAGTCTCCTCTCATCCTTGAACGTCAAGCGCAATCATCATAAGAAATACTATTCTAGTGCATTTGGCCGTCTTCCATTCTCTGGATGTTGTTTACTTCGAGGAAGCCAGGATCAGGTACGATTATAGAAGCTTCATTTTCCAACTACTCTGAGGTTGTACAGCGAAGGAAAATAGAACCATATTTTTGTAATGAACTACTCATAAGGTTGATGAAAATCCGTCGACAGCCCACGACCGGTTTTCCCCTTTTTTTTTTTGGGGGGGGGGGCTCATCAGGTAGGCGCAGTCCCCGAGTTTCCGTCATCCTTATGTTCTACTTGAAACCAAATTGCACGAAGTTAGCGAATATACACTTGCAAACTAATTGGGTTTTTTTTCGAGAGACTCACCCGGAACCCAACTGAATCTGTCGTTTGTGATGTTTCCAGTCTCTCGAAAAAACCGAATTAGTTTGCAAATGAGTGTATATTCGTGAGAATAGAACTACTTCGCGGGAAAAAGTGATGTGGTGAGGACTCCTGTTACGACTGCCTAACATTTCAAATAGCGTTATCAACCAGCAAGACGTAACAAAGGGCAGAATGGGATTCGAATGTGCGTGCAACTGGGTGGCTCAGGGGCATTCTAAGTTGGTGGGACAATTGTAAAACCAGTCACGTGGTAACTATTCTAGTAATGTGACTGTGACGTATTTCGGACACGAGTGACTGTGGGCTGACGCTGATTTCCAAGCGAATCGGTTTCGTGGCACGTAGCTTCACGGCAAAAGATCTATTGGGATTTAGCTTTCGACGCGTCTTCATTCCAAATTTGAGTAACTGCTTTACATCTGTGCTACGTGTTGCCAAAGCGCTTCGCCTGGCATTCAGTGAAGCCTTATCGATTTTACGCCACAAGGTCATGTTACCATGGCGGTGTCCTGGTGACTTTTGTCGATTGTTGTTGAACTTAAGTCTAAAGTATGTCCTTAGGCCGTTCAACTACTTTACACGCACAGTTCCGCGTATTACCTGTACAAATTGTGACCAAAATTGTTGCATTCTATAGGAGATGCTATTTCAGTCTTAACAAAATGGATTGAGGGAATTCAGCGAACCTGAAGCTGTGCAGTGTGGCTCATGGTCTTATTTTGAATAGACCACCAATAAGCAATCTCCCGTGATTCCGACAAATGGTTGGTGGAACGATTTCTCCGGTTAACTCCAATGAGTTCCGGCATCAGAAGTTTCTTCACGTGAACCATGTTTTCCCAACGCACATGAGCTTTCATCCTGTTTCGAACTTCGCATCATATTTAGTGAAGGCTAAAGGTGCGCGCGTTGAATCTATCAATCGCCTTGTCTTGCCTGGCTGCAACCGCGGTTGTGTTTTTATGGCAAAATATTGAAATTCCCGGGCAGGGCAAGTGGTAGAAATACCGTGCCGTCATTGGACACTTGTATACGGCTGCAAATTAACAATAGTATGCCTTGTCTTACACCGTCTGGGATGAGTAGTGATTTGAATGAGGTTGTGGTCACACACGTAACTCACGGTTTTTGGTACGACAGTGTGTGCTACCACTTAGGACCAGTTTTTTTTCGATTACCGCAGGATTTATGCCGCCGAGAAAATGAATCGCGAAATTAGTTCTATCGGGAGTTTTTTCTCAGATAAAATCCTGTAAAAGGCTTGATGTATACCCAATTCGACCGGCAGTCTTCCAAGCCCAACAACTTGGCGAAAACGTTAAGTTTGGCATCATAGCAGCACAGGCGTGATAGATTAACCAATTTAATAAACGTGTATGACGTCAAAAGCAAACAATATTGATCCAGGACTATATCGTGTTAGTGTAGTGCTAAAGACATCTGAAGGGCCGTGTATCGGGCCGAACGGTCGACATATGGGTTGGACAAACTGGGTTCTTTCGCTTTGCATGATAGTTGTCTTCATGGGGGGTTGAAACAGAATAAACAGAATGCGCCTACCTTTTTAACCGGTTTTGGACGAATTCTGAGAGAT